CTAACATATACTCTATCCTGGAGCAAGTTCTGTGTGCACCAGAAGAATGTATATTCTGCTGTTGGATGGGGTGTTCTGTGTATGTCTGTTAGGTCCATTTGGTCTAAAATATAGATCAAGTCCCATATTTCCTTAATAATTTTCTGTCTGGATGATCTAGCCACTGTTGTAGTTTGGGATATTAAAGTCCCCTACTATTATTGTATAAACGTTTGCTTTATATATTTAGGTGCTTCACTGTTGGGTGCATATATTATTTACAATTGTTATGACCTCTTAATGAATTGACTCCTTTATCATTATATAATGTCCATTTTTGTCTGTTTTTACAGGTTGGGTTTCGTTGTTGTCATTTTGGTAGAGATAGTGTTTTACTATGTTGCCCAGGCTGGTCTCAAACTCCTGGCCTCAAGCAATACTCCCACCTTGGCCTCCCAAAGTGCTAGGATTACAGGCATGAGCCACTGTGCCTGATCTATTTTTTATAGTTTTTGACTTAAAGTTGATTTTTGTCTGATATAGGTATTACTACCCCTGCTCTCTTTTGCATTTCATTTGCATGGAATATTTTTCCCCATCCTTTCACTTTGTGTATCTTTAAAGAGCGGTCAGTCTCCCACAGGTAGCATATAGCTGGGTCTTATCTTTTTTTTTTTTTAATCCATTCAGCTACTTGGTCTTTTTATTGGAGAATTTAATCCATTTACATTCAAAGTGACTATTGCTAGGTAAGAGCTTCCTACTGCCATTTTATAATTTGTTTTCTGGTGGTTTGGGGTATACTTTGCTTCTTCCAATCTTGCTGTCTTCTTCTGTGATTTGATGGTTTTCTGTGGAGGCGTGCTTTGAATCCTTTCTATTTCAGTTTTGTGCATCTACTATAGATTGTTTTGTGCTTACCATGATCTTTGCAAAGAAATGAGTTCATATTGTCATATCCCAAAGGCTTGCAATTAACTAGTTAAGGATGTGAGCTTCATAACTGAAAAAACAAAAAGATTTTTCAAAGAAATCAGAAAGGTTCAAGGCTTCATTTAAGCAAAGAATGAATTATGCCTGAGTAGAAGCCAAATTTTTAAGGTAACTAAGTATAGCTTCCTTATTTAGAAGATGCTTAAGTGCTACAATCTGGAATCTTCATAACAACTGAGATTTGCCAAGTGTGTGTATGTGTAAACTAAATGGCATAAACAGCGTTCCACATTTGGCAAACCCCTCTTTATTTTCAGGCTATCCTTTGGGATAGATGAAGGTTTCCTCTAAGTCATATTTTATAAAGTTTTTCAAGCACAATTTCCTTTTTTTGCCTTCCAACTAGGCATTTAAAAAAAAAGTACTCATTGCATGATGGATATATTCATATGAATAATATTTTATATTACTCTTGGATACCTGAAGCTTTCAAGAGGAAATTTTACTATTTGTCCAAGATCCTGGGATAGAAACTCCACCAGCCCACTGACACTGGTGAGGCACTCCCACCAAAGAATAAGGATGGAACAGTTGTTCTTTGGACTGTTTACTGTGGTAGGAGTTAGGAATTTGCAGAAAATGTGTTTGGGAGGAAGAAGTGGTCTATGCCATGTAGACTAAGCCTATGTTTCCCTCTTTCTCATTTTGTAAGTATTGTGTGTGTGTGTGTTTGGTCTGGTTTCTATTTTATTTATTGATTTATTTCATCATATTATGGGGGTACAAATATTTAGGTTACATGTGTTGCCTTTCCTCCCCCTCCACCCCCCACCGCCGGAGTCAAGCTTCAAGTCCATCCCCCCATGGTGTGCATCTCACTCATTATGTATGTATATACCATCCCCTCCTCCCCTCTCCCACCTGCCCGACACCCGATAAATGTTATTCCTATATGTCTACTTAGGTGTTGATCAGTTAATACCAATGCTGGTGAGTACATATGGTGCTTATTTTTCCATTCTTGGGATATTTCACTTAGTAGAATGGGTTCCAGCTCTAGCTAGGAAAATACAAGAGGTGCTATATTACTGTTGTTTCTTATAGCTGAATAGTACTCCATGATATACATATACCACATTTTATTAATCCACTCATTTATTGAGGGGCACTTGGATTGTTTCCATATCTTTGCAATTGTGAATTGTGCTGCTATAAACATTTGAGTGCAAGTGTCTTTTTTTATAGAATATCTTTTGTTCTTTTGGGTAGATGCCCAGTAGTGGGATTGCTGAATCAAATGGTAGATCTACTTGTATCACTTTAAGGTATCTCCATATTGCTTTCCACAGAGGGTGAACTAGTTTGCAGTCCCACCAGCAATGTAAGAGTGTTCCTATCTCTCCACATCCATGCCAACATTTATTGTTTTGGGATATTGTTTTTAATAATGGCCATTCTTTCTCACTGGGGATAAGTGGTATCTCGTTGTGGTTTTGATTTGCATTTCCCTGATGATTAGAGATGTTGAGCATTTTTTCATGTTTGTTGCCCATTATTCTGTCGTCTTTTGGAAAGTGTCTGTTCATGTTTTTTGCCCACTTTTTAATACAGTTGTTTGATTTTTTTCCTTGCTGATTTTCCTGAGTTCTAAATAGATTCTAGTTAACAGTCCTTTATCGGATGTGTAGCTTGTGAAAATGTTCTCCTATTCTGTAGGTTGTCTGTTTGCTCTCATGACAATTTCTTTGGCTGTGCAGAAACTTTTTAATTTGATCAGGTCCCATTTATTTAGTTTTGTTGCTGCTGTGATTGCCTTTGGGGTCTTCTTCATAAATTTCTTTGCCTAGTCCGATGTCTAGAAGAGTATTTCCAACATTTTCCTCTAGAATTCTGTAGTTTCACACCTTAGATTTAAGTCTGTTACCCAGCGTGAGTTGATTTTTGTGAGAGGTGAAAGGTGTGGATCGTGTTTCAGTCTTCCACATGTGGCTATCCAGTTTTCCCAGCACCATTTATTGAAAAAGGATTCTTTTCCCCAGTATATGTTTTTGTCTGCTTTGTCAAAGATTAGATAGCTATATGAGGATGATTTTATATCTGGGTTCTCTGTTCTGTTCTACTAGTCAATGTCCCTGTTCTTGTACCAGTGCAAAGATGTTTTAGTTACCATAGCCTTGTAGTATAATTTGAAGTCTTTGTTTTTATTGCCTAGGATTGCTTTTGCTATACAGGGTCTTCTCTGGTTCCATATGAAGCGTAAAATTATTTTTTATGTATCTGTGAAAAATGATGATGGTATTTTAATAGGGATTGCATTGACTCTGTAGGTCACTTTGGGTAGTATAGACATTTTAACAATGTTGATTCTGCCAACCCACAAGCATGGTATGGTCTTCCACCTGTTTACATCCTCTGTTATTTCCTTCCTCTGTAATTATTATTTTGATGGCATTCTTCTTTATGCATTTCTGTGAATTATTTTTTCAAGAGATGAAATCTCCCTGTGTTACCCAGGCTAATGTTGAACTCCTGGGCTCAAGCAATCCTCCCGCCTCAGCCTCCCAAGTAGCTGCGATTACAGGCGTGCGCCACCACGCCCGGCTCTGTTACTTAATTACTGATAAAACAAAAAATCACCCAACCACATAGAAACGAAAACTTGTGTATATCTTGTGTGTGTATATATATATAAAAAGATCTTCCCCATAGCCAGCTCTTAATTTTTACTTCCATATTTACCTAAACCTTGAGAACACTTTAAGAAGTCACCTAAGCTTGAACTTTCACAGCTCAGACTCCTCTGTATACCGCATTACAGAACCCTCTTGATGCAACCTCTGAGATGCTGCTTGCAACTGAAGCCTCTTGTCAAGCCTACTCCTGCTACCCTAGGCCACATCTTCACACTGTGTTACCACCATAGCTTCGTTAATTTAAACTTCATTCCTGTGATGGTCGTTTATGCTGTTCAAGTATTTTCAGCTTTCTGGACACATAGGACTGTACTTCCTGCCCTCCTTGTGACAGGATGGGACAATGTAACTGGTTTTGGCCAGTAAGTTATGAGATGTGACATTGGTCACTTCTGGGCCGGAGCATTTCATTGCACTTTCCCTCTACTCCAGTAACTAACAACTTTTGTGATAGTGGGGTAATTGGGACCAGGAGATACGGACATGACGGACACCGAATGTAAACAAGACATGTCTTGTGACAAGCCATTTAGACTTTGGGTTGTAACCAGGGCATAACCTGACCTGTCCTGATATACTCCCCCACCATCCATGCTAAACACTGCATCTGGTTACAGCACTACCAGGTCCAATCCTTTAGGCTGTCATTCAAGGCTTTTTATACCTTGGCCAGAGTCTACTCTTCCAGCCTCAGCTCCCACTTCTATACTAAACAGAGTTAAATGGGCTTCCTAGGAATGCACCGAGCATGCCCCCCCAGTATCCTTTCCAAGTAGCCACACCCAGCATCTGTAACTAATGAAGAAGCGGCAGAACTTAGGTTCCAGTGTGGATTTTTGCTCAGCATTCATGTCTTTCACTGATGGCTAAGAACTTTCTACACTGACCTTTCCCCAATTCTAGTCCTTCTTTCTGGAACTTCTATTAAAGTTGGATCTTCTCATTTTGAGCTTTTTTCCTGCATTCCATCCCCTCCCTCATCTCTGTGCTGTATTCCAGGTTAATTTTCTCAACATCTATCTTCCATGTTACCAATTCCCTCTTCAGCTGGGCCACCTAGGTTTCTCCCTAGGGCCATATCACTGTGTAGTCGTTTTTTACTCTGGATTTCAGTTTCTTCATTCTTGGATCTCTGAGCTTTTTAAAAATTTTTTATATTGTGGTCATTCTTGCACAGGGGCCATGATAATCTTTGTATTGTTCCAACTTTAGTATATGTGCTGCTGAAGCCAGCCAGCACTGGGCATTTTTTAAAACTTTCTTTTGCACTCAACTAAGTGTTGAACAGATACTAATTTCATATTATATCAAATATTTCTATGCATTAAAGAATGAAAAGACTTTCAGGTTATCTTATAAAAGCCATAGTGTGCCGAAAACAAAAATTCTGTATCATGTTTTGCACATACTTTTTATTTGTTGAATAAATGAGTATTTATCAATATGTACATAACCACATAGAGCGAGCACTATATTTAGAGCAAAATATTTGGGTTCTAATATGCAAAGCCACTTACCAGCGATGAGGGCTTAGGCAAAGAACTTAATCTGAGCTTAGCTCCCTCAACTGTAAAACTAGGCTACTCAGACCTGCGTGGCCGACCACACAGGTTTATTGCAAGGTTCAAATGCAGAAACAATGAAAGTGCTATGAATACAACTCAGAGCAATACAGATATAACAAGTAACAGCAATTGAGTTTCAAGTTGAAGAATAATCACACCTTCGGATGGTACCGATGGAGCCAACGAGAAAGTGACAATAGCTGATTACTAATGAGAATGAATATGGCATTCTTCTGAGTGGGAAGAATTCTGCAATATCCCGTAGCCTGTCCCTAAGACTAATCACTTCCTAAACTTCATGAAGATGTCAGAGACCCACCACCAATAACTCTCTCACAGAAGCACAGGGCCAAATGTCCCACGTTTATTTACATATGAAATGTGTTTAATACAGTTACGATGATGTAGTGCATAACACCTGACAGCAGCAAGACCTTTTGAGGAACCGAACGTTGACTACAGTATATCATGCAAGTATCTATATATACACAAAAGAATTTTTCTTAAAAAAAAAAAAAAAGTACAAAACATGTTCAGGGATAAATACAAGATATAAAATGCAAAAGAAAACACAAAACAAAAACCAAAAAATAGAACTCTCCCAGAGAACTATAAACGGAAGGGACAGAAGAGTACCTCTGCTGCACTTAACAAAGCAGAACTACTGACATGAAATATACTTATTGAAATGACGGAACTAAACCCAGGTGGCTCAGTGCGTAATCTAATGGCCAATTGCAACACACAGGCTGCTGCATTGATAAGTCGGTGGTTGAAGTTGTGCATCCCAACTCTAAGTACCAGGACGTTTGGCAGTAGCACCCAGAACAGGAAACACCAACTCTTTTGACAGCAAAGGGTTAAGTCAACTGAGATTTTTTTTTCTTCCTGTCAAGAGCCAGAGAAATACTTGATATTCTTAGTTGTGTTTCTGTAAGTTAATAAATTACATGACAAAAAAACCTGACTATATAAATCTATTGGTCTAACTACGTATTTGTAACTTTTATAGTAGTCCAGCCCTTTCGTAACTTCATCTCCTTGTGCTCTTGTAAGCTGGCCTTGCAAACGTCGCCCGGAAAACAACCAAAATATGTGTTTTCGCTTCCCTTTTAGAATACCCTCGGGTTTCCCATTCCTCAAGATGCAATTAAGGTAATAAGCTACATTCTTTCCTGGATTCCTGGCCTAAGTTTTTTTACCCACTGCGGGGACAGAGGCCGCCTGCAAGGCTGCTTTAAATACTGAGTGGCGCGGCCTGGCACCCGCCGCGCCCGCACCGGAGTGCAGCTGCGCCCCGCGGCCCGCTCGCCGAGGGCGGCGCTAAGACACTTAAAAGTTCCTAGTGTTTTTGAGACCCACGATTACCTATAATTTATGTAGTGAATTCTAAAAATTAAAAACACTAAAAAAGGCATTATTTCAGCCTGTAATTAGTTAACCCATTCAAATTCGTAACATACAAAATGATTTATTCGAATTCAGGAACTGCCCCTGTTACTAAGAACTCTGTTGTAAAGAAACAGTACAAAAAAGAAATTCTAACCCAAAAAAAAAAAAAACCAACTCAATGTTTTCCACTAAATACTGATACAAACATGTAACAAAGAGTATAAAAAGTTATTCCTTTAAATATATACAAACTCTTTTAAACTCAAATACTGCTTTAATACTTATCGAGGATATATACGACCAGGTTGAGGGTAGGTGGAAAGAGAATATATTGCAACAGCCTAGATAGTACTGTTAACTCTATTATACTGTGAACTTTTTGTAACAAAAATGTCTTTTTTATTCCAATGTGGACAGGGATTTTCCTTATGGAACATCTGTGGCTATTTCTCAGCTGAACTCATTCTTTTGGATTTAATGAAGGCCATGCCGTGTGTCCGCATGTGAGTATTTAAGGCAGCTTCAGTTTCGAAAGTTTTTGCGCACACTTTGCACTTTCTGTCTGACACGGCGCCGTCGGGGGATTCGTCCTCCGGGCTGGGTTTGTTCTCCTGCTGGCTGTCTTCCCCGGCCCCGTTCTGCTTGGACACCGGCTGCGGCTCCTTCAGCTTGTGCACGATGAACAGGTGCCGGGACAGGGAGACGTGGGACGTGTAGCAGAGGCCGCACTCCCGGCACTGGTAGGACGAGCCGTCCGATTTGTGTTGAGGGATGTGTTCGTGGAACTGCAGCAGGTTTTCGGTGGTGAAGCCACACACGGCACATTTGTGGACCTTGAAAACGTTGATCTTCAGCTTTTTCAGTGGTTGGGTGATCGCTCCCCTGGGAGGCCTGAACTCTAGAACTGGTTCTTCCAACTTCCGCTTAGGACTAGGAACCTTGGGGGGGAGGGGGGCGCAAAGAAAAGAAAAAAAAAAAAAAAGCAAATGACATAACCGAAAACCATCCTGCTCTACTGATAATTCATCAGTTCTGACTTTAGAGCTGTTAGGAAAATGCGGGCTTTGAGATTTAGGGGGCACTAAAGTCGCATGTCTGCCGGCCCACACCTGTCCTCTGCGCCACAGACGGGAACCGGGCCCAGCAGTGGAGGAACAAGCCCCGGCCTTTGTGGAATTTACGTTCCAGTGGAGCTGGATGGACAGAAACAATAGACAATCCACAGCACAGGAGAGCCAGCAGCGCCTGATGGAGGCTGGGCAAGCAGCAGGTACGTGAGTGTCAAGTGGCATTTGAACAGAGGCCTGACGCAGCAGGGAGTGTCGAGGCTGCAGGAGACGGCAGACCGAGGCAGGGGGGCTGGGACGCACTCTGGGAGAGACACAGGCAGGACTCTGCTTCTCCTCCAGGACAGGAAGCTGCTGGGGGACCTGCCAGGTATCCCCTCAATTCTGCATTCCTTCCCCTGATACACCTCCCTGCCTTCCCCCTCCTTCCCACTCTCTAACTCCCTACACCAGCCCATCCCCTCACTTCTAGTTCTGCAAAAGTCCAAGCCCCAGAGACTCGTCCCCCCTACACTCCATGGTCTATCACACCTGCCACCTTCACGTGTGGCCTTAACCTGAAGCTATCTCTGCCCAGAAGTTCTTTAATTCCCTGAGTGCTGAGGGGAAGGACTGCATATTAACGTGACACTGGCCTGACAGGTATTCTGATGAGGGTTTGCTCAGAGATCAATTCCTTGACTGTACACATGTGCTTTACCCAGGCACATTCTAGACACAGCACCAAAGACCACAGCACCCCCCTAAATGCTGCACTGCGGCTTTCTTTACCTCAAATAGCACCTGGGACACCCTGTATGTGGGTTCCTACGTACATATACATAGTCGCCTGACTGAAGTTTACTATCTGCTGATAAAAATCACAAATTTGTGCTTTATTCTTATTAGGTACCTATCACAACCAATATATTGCCAATAAAAAAAAAATCTAGCTTTAATACATTCCTTTTGGCTAGGAGATAATTTTCATATTTAAAATTTTAAAATTCAAATATGCAAGTAGATCCCTGAAGCTGTTTCTGGAAGGATACAGGAAAAACCTTAAAAGATTACCTTTCCAGGAGCAAGATGAGAGGTGAGAATGGGTGTAGAGGGAGATGAGCCCCTGTTTTACACCTGTATGCATAGTCTGAATTTTAAAAGGTACGTGACTAGACAAAAGCTGCATGAAAAGAATGAGGAGTGAAGCGTGTCAACACAGTCTTCGCTGTAAAGCGAGCATCTGGGATGTCTCACCTTGGCGTCGTCTTTTATTTCTACTTCCTCCTCGTTGGTGATGTCTGTCATCTCTTTCAGGTCGGGGTCCTTGATGCCGTGCATCAGCTGGATGTGCTTCTCCAGCATGAGCCGCTTGGTGAAGGTGCGCCTGGAGTCCGGGCAGTGCCTGCGGGGCGAGGGGAGGAGGTAACGCCCCCGCCGGCCAGACGGCCCGGCCCCAGCACCCTCAGGTGGGCCAAGGCAAAATAAGCCCGTTTGTGAAACTTTTTTACCACTCTTATTAAAAATTCTCTGTTGGTTTTGAGTCTATATAGGACCAGCTTCATGTGGTTCAGATGGAATATTTATTTTCTAGGTTTGCTTAAAGTATCACTTAATTTCTAATTCTAGATGGTTTTCAAGTGGAAAATACCAAATTTCAAGTGTTCTTTACAAGGACTCAGTATTCCCTTGGAATTGTCATGACAGACGTTTTAGCATGAAGGATCAGGGAAACAATTTCTTCATGCTAATGTTAATTATTCCTGTTTACTCTGCAACAAAGAGCGAGCTTCTAGCCCAAACTCTTCAACACACAAATACAGCATGCGTGTGTACATCAGACACTCAAATATGTGCATGCAGTAGATTAAAATGCAGAAAATTATAAACAGATCAAAAATAGGTCAATTAAGTTTTCATTTTATCTTGTGCAAAAGATAGAAAATATTTGTCAAGGAAAAATAATCCTTATAATTAATAAGAGAGGCCAAACACAGGTTTAAAAAAAGTTAATGACCACAGTGATTAAGTGCTCTAAGCCAGATATGAAGAATGCCACTGGAATGAGAGGGTTGCTACAGGGTCTCTCGTGGTCTTACTCATGAGCAAACTTGCTGCCTTCAAAAAGGCTTCTGTGGATTTTATAATGACTGGCCCCACGCCCCGACTGCATGTTAGACACTGTCTACAGGGGCAGTGGCAGGACCAGAGGACCGGCGTGCTTGAGTGAAAATGGGGTTTAAGTTAGACAAACAATCGCAGCGTTTTACTGCCTTACAGTGACTGCACAGGGAGACACACATTGCGACAGCAAAGGAGGAAGCCAGGCCAGGCTTCCCTCCCTCTTCTTAGCCCAGGGCATCCTTCTAATTCTCATTCTTTTGATCTGGTCTCAATTTAGGGGACATTCTCGCCTCACCAAGATCACCCCTAACTTCAGTTTCACTGAAGGAGAGTCTACCTCCCTAGTTTTCCTACCTAGGAAACTTTCCCTAACTAGCCAAGTCATCATAAACCCCAGGAATCTGACTGTCAACCTTCATGACCCTCCAGATCCACCGGGCCTTGCTCTGAGCAGATATTCATGTGACCTACTGGCTCCCTAGCCTCAGGGTCCTTGTTCTATCCACCCGCTTTAGGCACATTCTGGCTTGGTGGGTAAATAGAGATTTTCCGCTAATAATAAAATGCATTGTGATCGACATAGATAGTGAAGTAGCCTGTGACTGTCCATTGGGGCCCGAGTTGACAGTGGCTCAGGCAGTCCCTTAAATTTGGTTCTGGCAATGACGTGTCCTGAAAACAGGCCACTCTGCCTCCTGCGGCAGCTGTAGCCAAGGCGCCGAGGACAGAGCGGAATCTGTAAGTAGGCCCGGTCAAGGCTTCCTCTACAGCCCCGAGTAAACCAACCGGCCCAATCGCGTGCCTGCACGAAGGCTGGAAGGCATCTTGTTTATTAACTGCTCACTGCAAATCCATCACTTCCTCAAAACTCTCAGTAATAAAATATATGTCTCTGGATAACATAAGAGTATACACACACTATGCAAGAAAATGCTCCTTAGTATTTTAATTTTTAAGTGTGACCACCCAATCCAAAACCAGCTAAGACAATTTAAGAAACATAACCTAGGAACCGGGGACTATAGCCAGCTAATGGTTGAATACGAAAACCCTTCGAGAAGTTGGTTCCCGCTGAACCCTCTCACTGCGCTCCCCGTGGGAACCCGCGACTTACGAGCAGGTGTACACTTTCCTGATGCCTTTGTGCTTGATCCGGTTGTGCCGGCACAGGCTGTGGGACGAGCTGAAGGACTTGTCACACTGGCGGCAGGGGTGTTTCTTCATTTGCTTTGTTAGGAGACAAGAGAGAGAAGTCACTTAAAGGAATGAAAATGGAAACATTTGGAAAAATTAAACTTTTGTAACAGTTTAAATTAAATATCATCAGCATGGGTTGAACATCCCTAATCCAAAATTTTCCCAAGTCTGAAACTTTCTGAATGCCGACATGAGGGGGACAAGTGGAAGATTCCACACCGGACCTCGTGTGACAGGTTGCAGTCACAACTTTGTTTCACGCACAAAATATCAATCTCCTGCTTAGATTTGGGTCCTATCCCTAAGATACTTCCTTATGAATATATAAATATTCCCAAAATCTGGGAAAAAATCCGAAATTTGAAACATTCTAGTCCCAAGAATTTTGGATCAGGGATACTCAACCTGTATTTAAGAATACAATAACAAAACTAGAAGATCTTTAAAACATGGTAGAAATGCAGGGCCAGAGTAACCACGAAGGGGCTAATTTCAGGGAGACAAGATGCACTTTATCATAGGAGCAAAAAAATATATATTTTTTCACTCAAATACTTTGATTCAACACAAACATCCAAGTATTTGAAATAAAACATTACATTTCTTCTGCAAAAGAGTTACTTTTATTTTTTATTATTTATTTTTCTGTTGGTATTTTTTTTTTTTTCTAGAATTCAGGAAGCAAAAGGAATTACTTTTTAAAAGCTGACAAACTACTATTTCAGTAAGTACCAAATAAAGCCATTACTTTGTTGTATAAAGAATATGCCGTCTTATCCAGTGTGCCCTGTTAAATTTCTGGGTAGTTTTAAACATTTTAAAACTTTAAGGATTAAGTATCAAATAATTATTAAGGGAAGAGTTTTCTAAAAGACCTTTTAATTAATACTATTTGATTGAGGCTGCCTATTGGTTTATCTGGGGAAGTGTGTATACAAGCTATCGAGTAAACAGGCCTAACTTTTTTCCCCCTCATATTTAAAAGTTTCCCACACTCTGGCTAAGACATAACTCAGCCAGTGTATTTCCATACAGAACCTTTGAAGTAAATTAATAGCTTAACTTTAAACAAATTCTATGGGTATGACATGTGTAGCAGTCTGGAACCGAACAAATGTCATATCACTAGGAAATTAAATCAAAGAGCTGTCACAGCCTCATGAATGAAACAAAAGAATGAAACAAAATTTGGCTCAACCTTCATTAAAAATAAGGCTGAAGTAGGACTAGGTTCTCATGTGAGATAAAGTTACATACAACTTTTGGCAGTAAGAACAAGTCAACGCTTGCAATAACAATGATATAAGACAGATTTTTTAAATTTTACAATTATTTTTCCACTAATGATCTGAGCGGCCAAAAGCCTGGCTCTTCAGCACCAGAGATGGGCTGACACCTTGTCTCTGCCACCACCAATCACAGGACCTGTGGAAGGTGATTTGGCCTCCATGACCACACCCCCTCCCTCAGCTGGGAGGTGGCTCGCACCTGTAATCCTAGCATTCTGGGAGGCCAAGGCAGGTAGATTGCTCAAGGTCAGGAGTTCAAAACCAGCCTGAGCAAGAGCGAGACCCCGTCTCTACTATAAATAGAAAGAAATTAGCCAAACAACTAAAAATATGTAGAAAAAATTAGCCAGGCATGGTGGCACATGCCTATAGTCCCAGCTACTCGGGAGGCTGAGGCAGGAGGATTGCTTGAGCCCAGGAGTTGGAGGTTGCTGTGAGCTAGGCTGATGCCAAGGCACTCACTCTAGCCTGGGCAACAAAGCGAGACTCTGTCTCAAAAAAAAATCTAGTATCTATTAATTCCTTTTGAATTTGATACATATAAAATCAACAATATAAAGAAAGATCAACAGCTGAAACACAGACATCTTTCTAAAAGCAGGACAGCTTTAGCAAATAATCATAGCAGATTTAGAGAAGAAAAATATATCTTTCAAGGCAAGAGGCCCCAGAGAAAGGAAAATTGGATTTTCTATTAAGGTGAAGGGTTTAGTATTTTATTTCTTGTTACTGTGTAGTTATGTTAATATCAAAACAAAATGAATAGAAAAATGCCAGTAAGGAAATTCTCAGCAGACAATAAATTAAATGAACACCTTAGGTGAACCAATACCTATTTTCAAAAGAGCTGAGGATGTGTTAGGCATCTTTTTTATCATCTTTATGAAAAAATGTTGAAATCAACTCTGCAATCCCAAAATAATACAGCAGGGTTTCCGATTCACGGATGACAAGATGAGAGGCTTTAACACCAGTTTCCAGATCAAACCTGCCACATTTGCACCACCTAACAAAACAAATGACTAACTTATTCAAAGGTACTTTACCTAATTTATTTTTATAACTTCTCTTCAATATTATGAGTTCATACTGCTATTTCACAACACAGAAAATTTTATATGTTGAAAAAATGGAAAAACGGTGTTAAGAAAGTGGACAGCCCATCGTCACCCTCCTGTTTAAGGCCATTTGCTTCCTCCTGGCTTCAGTGCAGTGTAAGCTGAGACTGAGGGAACCACGGCCTTGAGTGGACTTTCCATAGTTAACATCAGAGAAAGGGGTATGTTTTCCCACTCAATTCTGAGCTATTTTGTTTTTAAATAGAACTACTTTAAAGAAATAAGAAACTAGTAAGTTGGCAGGGTCCCCAAAATTTTTAGCATAAAACTTTTTGAGTAAAATATCAAATAAAACACTTAGGTACACACTTCCTAAACTTCCTCCCTGCTCTAATTTTTGAGTCTTTTATCTTCACTGCTTTCAAGAGAGCAACAAGCATTAACAATTCTCCTTCTCACCAGGTGACCTGGCTAAGAGGGCCCCACCCTGTGGTCAGCCTCGCTCAGGTATGTACACGGCCTCTAAAAGCTATTCTTTCTGGACATCTGTGTCTGGGTTTGCCACAGGCTCCCGCACAATCAGACATTTCCTGTTCTGACAACTAGCCCCTCTCTCTCTCTGCCTGCAGGCCTCTTTCTATTTCAGATGACTTCCGGGGAAGTTAAAGGGAGACAGTCACAGCTTCACACAAACAGCTGACAGGCGTCCACTTCTCCACCCTGTCCTGAGGGTCCTACCCCTCCACGAGGCACCAACACGAAGTGGACCTCCTTCGGGACCACCACACACCCAGAAGTACACACAGACTTGAGACTGAAGGGTGCAGAGTTATTCTCATTCTCAATCCATGCTGACATGCCCCCTACCAACGCACTTGATGAAAACCCAAACCAATAACATGAACAGAGTACAGCACCAGGAAGTCCCTCAGAATTTAACTCCTAATGCACTGATCACTTCCACTTGGGGACCTATTCTATGGTTATTCCCACAACTTGGTATGGTCCATTCTGTTACAACCCAACACACTTGCTCCTAAAAAATAACTGCCATGCAAAAACCAGGCGATGAAAACCACATGGCTTCTAGTGAAAATGGAGGTAGGGAACAACACTCAAAAACTCAGTGACACAGCCAGTAAAACATACATGCGTGTGCGTGAAGAAACGTCAAGAGACACGAGAAACAGTGATTACTGGTGGCAACAGTAGGAATCAGACTTTTCACTGTGGTCCTTCATACTGTTTGGATTTTTGAATGTGAATGTAACACGTATATAAAAAAATCTTTTTGTTGCCTCAAAATAAATTTTAAGTCTGGTTTATTCAGTTACAATTTACAAAGGTAAAATCTGCCCCCCTTGAAAGTATAGTTCTATGAGTTGTGACAAATGGGCACAGCTGAATAACTGCCACTGTAGTCAAGAGAACAGCTGCGTCACCTCCCCCGGTCCTGCCCCCAACGCCCAGCTCTTGGCAACCAAGGTCTGTTTTCTATCTCTGCAATTTTGCTGTTTCCATTTGTCATGTAAATGGAACCATGTAGTGTGTAGCTTTTTGAGTGACTCCTTTTGCTTGGAGCAATACATGGGTAATTGATCTGTGTTGCAGGGTCTAGCACACCCACTCCTTTTCACCACTACGTAGTGTTCCAGCGTGGGGACAAACCCAAGCGTGTTTATCCGATTCCCAGTTGAATGGCATCTAGAGGTTGTGTTTCCAGTTTGGGGGATCATGGATAATGCGTAACATTCACTTACAGGTTTCTGATTTTATGTCTCTTGGATAAATACCCAGAAGTGGGATTACCGAATCAGATGTCAAATAAGAAACTGCCAAACTGTTTTTCAGGGTGGCCGTCCGTTGCATGTCCAGCAACAGAGAAGAGCTCCAGCTGCTCTAAAACCTTTTGCGGCATTTTGGTATTGCCATTTTACAGGGGGGTCAGTGATGTTTCACAATGGTTTTAATTTGCATTTCTCTAATGACTTACGTTATATTATGGTAAAAAAAAAATTTCAATTAACAGATAAAATACCTACTCATATATAACTTTTCCTCCAAAGAAAACTCTGACTGTCATCAAAGTTTTTGGCTTTTAAAGGAACGTTAAGGGTGTTTTCACTCTCCCATAAGCTCTTTGAGGACAGAAGCTATAAACTGTTCATCTCTGTACCCCTGACATTCAGCATACAGAAGACACTCAGTATTTACTAAGTGAATTAATAAATAAAGATTACCTAAACACACAATTAGAAAAATATCAGTAGGTTCTACAAAGTAATCACAAAGTGACAAATTTAGGCTAAAGGGTGAGACAAGCATGTTTAACACATTGGCCCCAAGGAAAAAAAATTTTTTTCTAGTGTGGCATAGTGTTACAATTAATACTGAAAATATTTTCGACACCAAGAACATCAAGTAAGATTTTCATGAACCAAATGCAGGCTCCAGGCTCAAAAAACTAGTGTGAGTTAAATACAACTCACGTGGCAGTTAACATGTTAAAAACTGATGACAGTGAGCCTATAAACATGAAGATGTTGAGGACACAGGAGAGGAGTCAGTGAGCAGGAAGGCATTCCAACAGAAGGAAGAACAGCTCTTCCTGCGTGGCCGGAGCCAAGGTGCCGCCCGGGACAGGTGTGATGCTTATTAAAGTCAGGGGTGGGCGGCGAGGAAA